TATTACTGTATTTCTAATAGTCACTTGTATAGCAAAGGTAAGCTATCGGTAACATTCAATTTTCTCTCCCCACTCCTGTGAGAGCTTGAAACCCCATCAAGCAAACATTTATGAACTTTTATCAAGAATACTCAGTCTGTTCTTTTCAACTATAGGAATAACAAAGTGACCTGACACATCCTACAACACATTTGAGCATAATCTCTGGACGGATCTCCCTGCACAGTCTATGTAACTATTACAATCATGGTAATTATTAGAGGGATTAAAAGCATGGTGTTAACCAGATGTAATGAAGGAATCAAAATAGCATTGTACAATAAATAGAGTTGTTGAATGATTGAGTTTTCATGACACTATGGACCCTTTAATATTTGCAGAATGGTCCTCCGTGTGAAAAATGTGCTCTGGATAGGAACTGTTAAATAAAGATGGATAAATAATCATCTAAAAACACAAAGGAGGAAAATATCATTGTTTTCTGTTTTAAATAGTAGTGCACAAATGTAAAAGAGGGGAGCCACCAATGGAATCTGCTGGCTGGTTTCTATGGTGATTGCCCGATTTTAAAACTTTAGCCACTTTTCAGAACAGAACATTTTGTTAAATCTCTCTCAAAAGAGTTTTATTTGCAAAACTGTTGGCTTCATGCACTAAACTGGAAATTGTGGAGAATAAACCAGGAAGTTGCAAATTGTGGCCAAATATCCAACCTGGAAGCGTAACTAATGCATTATATAGATGATGATAATACGGGTGAACTGATCACTCACACCGTCATGGACCAAAGGTTTGTGGCGGTTAGAGGCCTGGCTGCAGCTGTGCAGTAATATGCAGGCTAGGGACATCAGTGATCCCTCCACAAATGGATCATCCTAGTTGTAATGGACTACTCTGTGTTTTATAATTGGACCAGTGCAATACTTTATTCTCTGTGTAGTTTGGCCATGATGCCGGAGGCCCCATAAATAGTTCCCAAGTTGGTTGAATATGTGGATAAAGTCGAGGACAGGAACTTACATCATATCCATGGCCCCACTGTACACAGAACCTGAGCATTTGTTCCCTGTTTCCTGCCCTTGCTAGTTTCTTGACTTTCCTTCCCCTCTGACTTTGCTGAGTAGGGTTAGGGTTATGGTTAGGGTAGGGTTAGGTTTAGGAGTAGGGTTAGAGGTGGAGGTACCTTAACCCTAACCCTACTCCTAACCCTAACTCTACTCTCAACCCAACCCTACCCCTAACCCTACCCTAACTCTAACCCTACTCCTAGCGCAACCCTAAACCTACCCCTAACCCTACTCCTAACCCTACCCTAACCCTACTCCTAACTCTAACCTAACCCTACCTAGCCCTACCCCTAACCCAACCACTATCCATAACCCTACCCCAATCCCAATCCTACCCCTACCTGTTTTGCCACTTTTCAGAAGTCCAAAGCACTTCAGCACTTCCGAAATTCGTCACTTCGGCAATTCAGTTCCGTTTGGTACTTCCGAAATTTGGCACATTTCGGAAATTCGGCAATTAGGCACTTCGGACATTTGGACATTCGGAAGCATCCGAATGTCCGAAATTCGTCCGAATTTCCATTCGGACCGAACCGAATTGCACATGTCTAGTGGACGCTCATATGTATGCACTAGGAATATATCTTAATGTATATACTAATGTACTGGTACATAAGAGCTTCTGCACTAGATTATATCTCATACACACTTCCACATGCTCCATTCATTTAAGTAATTTAAAGGGTATCTCATTATTATAAATACATTTAGATTTCTTTCATTTTAAATACATTCAGAAACATCTATAAGAATGAAGCCCATCCAACATTACATATTCAAAACATATACAGAACAAAAACTTAGTATTTGCAGGGGTTTAGTTTGTACTTTATAAAGGATTTTTGTATTTAGATGGTTTACAATCATATTAAAAGTCTCACAGTGGGAAACAGTTACGTAGGTTTGTGTTACTGTTCAAGCAGAGAAGCCACCCAGAGAATGTGCTTCTAAATCCAATATTGTCGATGTCAGGTGAAGAATGAAATTGAATGAAAGGCCAATAGGGCAAGGTACCACTACTAAGCCACCTCTCAGATGATGCATGTGTTTAGGCATGTATGCAAGGGAGATAGTTGAAAGGAGCTGACAGAGGGGAAACAATTTGCAGGTTTGAAGGAATATTATAAAAAAGAAATGAAAACAGGAAAGAAACGGAAGCATGTTAAGAGAACATTTCTGATTATTGATTTAAAATGTGTTTCATTGAAATTACGAATATCTCACATTTAGAGAAGAAGCTAGCATCTAAGCAGCTGCTTTTGAATGTTATTGATCATAGGATTCTGTATGGGAAAGGAAGGAGAGATAGGCTCAATACTTACACAGCTTTGTAATATTACATATTTAGAATGTCTTTAAAGGGATATGAAAATATATGAATCACCTTCCTAATTGGTTTGTTCTTTTGGAGGGGCAGGTGAAAGTTTTAGCAGCTATAAGACTGGCTTCTGGTTTAGAGACAAGATAGAAGTAATTTTTCTGATTATTTTGCCATCCAAGATCTGTCCAAATTGTAGGTGGACAATTTTGCCTCCTCTCCCTGAATCTGGAGAGGGTCTGAGCTGAAACCATGGAATGCAGATGTAGTACACAGGATTTGACTGTGAACGGGCTGCTGTATGCATGTTTTTAGCTTACTCAGATATTCTAATGCATATCTAAGAATTTCTGTCCTTTATAATAAATGGTAGTATCATGCATGTTAAGGAAATGGCTAATTTGAATAAAAGGCTTCTTTCTTGCACATGGATAACTTATCTGGAACACAACATGAATTGAACCATTATGCTGATTAGATTTCTAGGTCTCTTCAGTATAGTATAGATCACTGTCAGTCAGTTAATAATTGATCAAAAAAAAAAAAACTTTTTAGGGGGCGTGGCCTAACAGCCGACGGAGATGGCGGCTTGAGAAGGGAGCTCCCGCGCATCCACACTCACCCGAGCCCCTGCAAACCGCACCGCGACCGCTCACAGACGCCTGCATGCCCCACAAGGGTCCCAGTGCCACCCCACGAGGGAAGAAACGACGGGATCCGCTCACCTCCGCCCCGACCGTGGCAGACATGTTCGCGGCCTCAACTGCCGCCCAGGCCACACAAGATGGCCGCCGGACACGAGACTCCCACTCCCCACCAACAGGTACAGACAGGGGACAGCCCGACCAGACAGGCGACGCCACCAGGCACATCCTTCAGCAGCTAATGGAGGTAAAAACATTCCTGGCAGGGGAGATCACACGCAGCACCCTAGATATTAAAGCAGAAATCCAGGCCCTGGGCGCACGCACGGCAGAGCTAGAACAGCGCATGGAAACGCTAGTACAAGGTCACAACTCAGTCATAACACACTCCACAGCCCTGAATCAGCGCCTCAGTGACTTAGAAATGCAGGTGGAGGATCTCTCCAATCGCACCAGGCGAAACAATCTTAGAGTCAGGGGATGGCCAGAAGAAGCGCAGGAAGGCCCCTTGGCACCCATTATGGAGGCATACTTTAGCAAACTGCTACCAGAAATACCCAAGGCCCAATGGGCGATGGACCGGGCACACAGGGCTCTGCGCGCCCGGCGCCCAAACGCAGACGCGCCCCGGGACATAATAATATGCTTCCATTACTTCTCAACTAAGGAAGCTCTATTGAGACACAATAGACACCAAGACTTCACCTATAAGGGCAAATCCATATCACTATTCCAGGACCTGGACCCGAGCACGCTGCAAAGAAGGCGGGAGTGGAGGCCACTGACAGATCTATTACGGCAAAATGAAATCCGCTTCACCTGGGGCCACCCCTTTAAAATTGTGGCCTTCAAAGCGGGGAAGACAATCACTTACCTACCGGGAGGAGACCCACGAAAATTCCTCCGAGATCTGGACATCGCACCGCCACGAGAGCTCGCTCTACCGGGACCGGCTCGACCGGCTCTCACACCCCTCCCAAGGGACTGGTACACGGTCACAGCACAAGCGGAGAGAGAGGCCTGAAACCAGCAGCAGGACTAAACGGCCGCAAGGCTCAAGACAGCAAGCTCCACACGCCGGACAGATAAGTTCACCCAAGGGACAACCATACATTTTTTACCTGCCAAAGATTTTTTTTTTTTTTTTCAGCCCCTCAGGCATGGACGGGGCCCTGAGGGACCCAACGCACAGGGACCGCTACTTCCTAAATGCACTTCCCAGGCTATGTTGGGCTGAACTCTGCTCCGCCTCTAGAGGCGCAGCCTTTACCCTTTTAAGTACCTCACTACATGCTTTATACCTCAAGCAGGAGATGACAGGGGCATGTTATGGGGGGATGGAGGGACCCAACGCACAGGGACCGCTACTCCTTAAATGCACTTCCCAGGCTATGTCAGGCTGAACTCTGCTCCGCCTCTGGGGGCGCAGCCTTTACCCTTTTATGTACATTACTACATGCTTTATACCTCAAGCAGGAGATGACAGGGGCATGTTCAGGGGGGACGGAGGGGAAGTAGTGCTGGCTGACATACGGCACACCACACGAACCGTCCGACAACACGAGGCCAAAGAGGCCAGGTAGACCTTGGGGGGAGACTAAAACGCACAGTGTTCGCACACTCTGAGGGAGACACACCAAGATATACCGCACCGAACTTTCATCTGCAGCTACTCGTTATAAGGCGGGGGGGAAAGGCGGGCTGACGTACTGACAACCCACGAATGTAACCACCGCATACCATACCTTTGTTCGGGAAAGGTACCCCTGACGGCACCACCAATGACAAGATAGCACCCACGCACACTAGACGGGGAAACTAAACTCAGACCCACCACACCCGCTGGTAGCATGGTGAAGGCCACACGTAGCTCTCCCACATTCCACCGACGCATACACGACTCGGACAAACTGGGGGACTACATTATAGCGAACATCCTGCGCCATGGGACGTGCTAGAAACTCAGTACAGACGCGACAGAGAGCACTCTAACTTCTCGGCACCAGCAGGGTGCCCTAGACCAAGGGTGATAGCACAAAAACGGTTGCTAAACACAGCGCAGTGGATAGGCGCGGGGCACTCACCAACTCCGAGAGATGGTATTCCACACGTCACTCGGAGGGGGTGAACACCCCCACTTTAATCTGGCACAGGTTAAGACCAGATGGTTATTAAATGTTTATCTCTTATGTATATGTAAATGTTTATTGACAATGTTTTTAGATACTCAACATTTCTTCTTCTCTCTTATACTATCTCTTAAGACAAGTACTAATCTTCAACTCAACTACCCTGCCTGGATGCTGCCCGCGCCGCTGGGACTGGGCCCCACAACCGAACACACACACACCGCCCTCCGCAGTTCCCGGAAGACGGGAGACCATGCAACGCTTATTGCGCCGACTGCGCCTCCGCATGGCTCTTAAGGTACTTTCATTCAATGTCAAGGGCCTCAACTCGCCCAACAAGCGTCGACTACTGGTAAGAGACCTAAAGACCAAGCAAATAGACATAGCACTGATACAGGAGACTCACCTCCCCAGGTCGGCAGCCACCAGACTAACGGACAGAACTTATACAACGGTGTACGAGGCGCGCTCACAACGAAAGCGGGCAGGGGTGGCAATACTCCTGCGCAGGAGTTGTCCACTGCACGTCACGACCATCCAAACTGACCCAGAGGGGAGATTTGTATACATAGGGGGCACTCTCTACACCACCAAAGTACACATCGTCAATGTATATGCCCCCAATGAGCCGGACCAGGCGTTCTGGACGAACCTGGAGGTGTTGGGGGCGGGGACGGGGGGGGGAGTCCTCCTTGTCGGAGGTGACTTCAACGCGGTGCCAAGTCCGGCAGCTGACAGGAGCTCTAAACCAGGCACGGTGCGATCACAGGGCAGAGGGGGACAAGACAGGCAACTACACACATTCCTGACACACACAGCCCTCCTAGACGCCTGGCGCCTACAACACCCAACTACGACTGATTACACTTACTACTCGGCACCACATAACACCTACTCTAGAATAGATAACATGTTTCTCAATGGAGCAGGGATGGCCAAGGTCCTCCACACAGACATTAACAACATCACGTGGTCAGACCACGCAGACATCACACTCACACTAGGCAATCTATGTTACAAGTCCAATTGGTCCTGGAGGCTTAATACTAGCCTCTTAAGAGACGACACAACACAAGCCACAACCCGACAAGCCATCACAGAATACTTTGAGATAAACGCAACCCCCGAAGCCAGCCCTACCGCGATCTGGGCAGCGCATAAAGCAGTACTACGCGGCCACTTCATTAAACTAGCCACACAGAAAAAGCGGGCTAAAACAAAACAGCTACTCGACCTACAGTCTGCCCTACGTAAAAGAGCAACAACACAAAACGAATCCGACAGACTTGAACCTTAGGGAACTCAATAACCTCAGACACTCTATCAGGGACCTCACCTTGGAGGCGGTATCACGCTCTATCCTATGGTCCAAACGCTTGTTTTACGAGAAAGCAAATAAGACAGATACACTCTTGGCTAGGGCGCTCTGCCCGAGACCGCAAGGCAAAATCATAACAAAAATACGCACAACAGATAACACACTAGCCGAAACGCCCGACGAGATTAATGCAGTGTTCACCTCCTACTTCTCAGAACTATACAACCATTCCCCCCGCCTCCGGGCCGCCAATGCGGCCTACATTGCAGACATACACCAATTTCTCTCTGAACTCACTATCCCAAAGGTGAACGGGGCGGAAGCGGAAGCACTACAAGAACCAATCACACAACTCGAGGTGGAGGCAGCCATAGCTTCCCTGAAAGGCAATAGGGCACCAGGTCCGGACGGATATGACATTAGCTATTACAAACAATTCAAAGACGTATTAGCCCCCCCAGCTGACGACCCTTAGCAACCATTTTCTGCAGGGTGGGACACCTGATGGCGACATGGCGACAGCAAATGTTGTCCTCCTACCAAAACCAGGGAAAGACGACACACTGGCCTCGAGCTACAGGCCAATCTCACTTATTAACACTGACCTCAAAATATTCGCCAAAATCCTGGCGTCCAGACTCAACGTACTGCTCCCGCGCTTGATCCACCCAGATCAGGTGGGCTTTATGCCAGGCCGCCAATTGTATGAAAATACGAGACGAGGGGTCAGCACAATCTGGCACATGGGAGAATCCGGGGCGCCTTCTCTGGCGCTCTCACTAGACGCGGAGAAGGCGTTTGATAGGGTGTTATGGCCTTATCTATTTGAATTACTCCGATTCCAGGGGTTCCCGGAGACCTTCGTAACAGCTATACGAGCATTATACACCGATCTGAGGGCACAAATACTCATCACAGGGGCACGCGTAACACCCTTCACCCTGGGAAACGGCACCAGACAGGGTTGCCCATTGTCCCCCCTGCTCTTCGCCTTAACCTTGGAGCCACTACTACAAGCTATCAGGCAACACCCGCACATCAGGGGCGTCACGGTGGGGGGAACACCATTCACGGTCTCGGCGTATGCCGATGATGTCATGCTGACGCTCAGGGAGCCGAGACTCTCTCTCCACCATTTATTGCTCGTACTGGAGCGATTTGGCAATATAGCAGGGTACAAAATTAACTACTCCAAGTCCGAGGCAATGCCCTTTCACCTGGAGCCCCCGGAACTCACCCACATACGCGACACGTATCACTTCAAGATAACCACTGACGAACTCACGTATCTAGGGATACGGCTAACAGCGAACACATCCTCCCTATTTGCCCGCAACTATACACCTCTATTTCGGACCCTTCTCGCAGAACTAGAGCAGTGGACGGACAGGCCCATCTCATGGCTGGGGAGAGTAAACTCTATAAAAATGAATGTGCTGCCGAGGATGCTATTCCTCTTTCAAGCACTCCCAATAAGAGTAACACGGAGGGACCTGACGGGAATACAAAGAGCGATTGATGCCTTCATATGGCACAACAAACGCCCAAGAATCGCGCGCGCCCTCATGTACAGACCGAAACCCAGGGGGGGGCTGGGACTACCCAATGTCTACACCTATTATCTAGCTGCACAGCTGACACAGGTGATACAGTGGCACACACCTCCTGACAGGAGACGGTGGGTGGATCTAGAGTCGCTGATGACAGGTCAGGATCTCCCGCAATTTTCAATATGGGCACCCAAAGCGCAAAGAACCATATTAAGAACAGCGAACCCAGCCATACTCAACTCCATACAGATTTGGGACCAAACCAAAACAAAATACGCCCTCAGCTCCCACCCGTCCCCCATGACACCAGTCCTTAGGAATAGGGCCTTCCCTCCCGGAATGCAGGCGAGAGACTATAAGGGGATAGAGGCCACGGGACTCCAGAGATACGTACACCTATATGTGAACCAAAATGTAGTCACCTACGAACACCTAGCCACCAAAGCCAACTTACGAACAAGAGACTACTTTAGGTACATGCAGATACGTGACTTTGCACAAAACCCTGACATACGGAAGGCGGCTCTGACACCACTGACCTTCTTCGAAAAACTATGTTACAATGAGACAACACAAACTAAACTCATTACGCTACTATACAACCACCTCAATGGGAACTCGAACGAGGAGGGCACGCTGCGATACACCGACCAGTGGGAAGCCGACCTGGGGGAGGTATTAGAGGGAACGGAGTGGCAGGATATATGGGAAGCATGTAGCAAAACCACAATATGTGTGACGCTCCAAGAGCAATCGTATAAAACACTATTTCGATAGTACCTGACCCCCGTGAAACAGAAACATATGGGGCTAAGTCCCACAGACGACTGCTGGCACGGGTGCGGGGGGCGGGGCACGTATATACATATGTGGTGGGGCTGCCCGAAGGTCGCAGACTACTGGAGTAACATTGTGGAGCTTAGCTCCCAAATCCTGCAAAGGCGACTGGGATTAGACCCATGGGCATGTCTGCTCTCAAGACCCACAAAGGATCTCCCTAGACACGAGCAAAGACTTCTTAACATGCTCTATTTAGCGGCCCGAAGGTCCCTAGCACAACAGTGGTCATGTCCAGATCTCCCACATATATCCCTGGTTAAGACAAAAATGCGAGACAATTACATAATGGATAAATTGACCTCTCAGGTGCGAAACACCATGACTAAGTTCCAAAAAGTCTGGGACCTATGGGAACAATACGATACTTAGCACAACAACTTGGGGCGCGGGGCAGCATCCACGCAACTTTCAACTGGCGGGGCGGGGGCCCACCAAAGGCCAACCACCACATCAACACCCGGACAGGCGGAAGAGGCACCACTGCTAGACGAGGGTGGGGCCGGGCCCAGCACACAAAACACAACTTAAGGGAACTGACTACCCCCGTCGGTAGCTCACTCGGTAACCATGTCAAACCGATATAGCTAAACACGCAGGTACTTGTCTCCAACTCTTTACTTTCCTTTCTATCTCTCTCTTGTAGGCAGGCAC